CTCCGGGCCCCCCCAACCTCCCCACTCTTTCCGGCGCGTTGGTCTTTGAGGCGGAGAGAAAGGAACCGGAGTGATGGACGGCTACCTGTGGCGCTGCCAGGTGGCCTCGGTCATGTGGGTTCGTGACGTAAGGGGTAAAAGAATCTTGAGGTCATGGGGCTTCCCCTGACCTGGATTCTATCTCTCCGTCACCGGCAGAATCGCTGATTAATGCCTACAGTTCAAAATAGTCATTTTGACTGACCGGAGTCTATGGTGGGTATGAACTATGTGAATAGGCGGGTTCGGAGAACCCTCGCCTAATTTTCTTGATATATTGTATCAATTACTGTATTAGCAAAGGTCAGTTTTTGTCTTTGTGGCACATGATTCTCCTATTTATAAAAAGGTCCCAAAGACAAACCAGAAAATTATAGACTAATAAGTGTAATTATCGAAAGACATGTTCACAACCATTACACAAAATTTATAGAAACAAAAAATTGTGTTTCTATAATCAATCTGGATTTAGTGCTAAGCATTCTTGTGTGGGTACACTTGTTGGTATGATAGATGCTTGGCTTAAGGAAATTGACAAATTGTTGTTAGTTCTGTATTCCTGGACCTCATCATTTGATCTAGTTTATCATGCAATATTACTTTTGAAATTTCAGATATATGGTTGTACCAACTAATCATTGTCATTTTGCAAGTCATATATATGCATAAACAATTTATCAAGTTCAAGGAAAACATCTTGGATGTGACTGATGTTGTTGTTGGTGTTTTCTGAGGGCCACTACTTTTTATTAACTATGCAAACGACTTCATTACATCTTGTCAATTCTCCATGTGTATCATTCGCAGATGACACAACCTTGTATGTGTCCAACAAATCCTTAGACAATATATCAACTCATTTTAATCAAGATTTAAAAACTGTAGATAAGAGATGTTTTGATAACAAATTGTGTATAAACTCTACTAAAACTAAATCTATGCTTGTTACTTAACCTTCATGAAAAAGATATTTTTACGTTTATTATGTTTAAATAAAGATTAAATCAAGATAAAATCAAATAAAATCATAACACTTTCATTAAAAGTTCACTACCATTAACTTGTGTGCATCTGTTGGATGAATTTACTGTTTGTGTTTTATTTCCTCCAATTCATGTCATTTATTCAAATTCCAGCAAATTGGACATATTTGCTACTTGGTCAGAGAGCAGTCTTCAAGAAATTAGTGACATGGGTCGCTTGGAAGAATACAATCATGACTCCCTGATTGTTAAAGATGCACGACAATATGAATGGCTTCTCTTTGTTACCAAGGTAACACTTATGATGAATATTTATGAATATGTATTGGGCTCTGATTAACCTTTGGGGGAAATAGGTGTATTGCAAGATGTGACAAGACAGCGGTCATTTCAACATATAGGTACATGTATTGAAAAAAAAACACTGATGAAGGGTTCACATCTCAAGACCTCACAGAAAAGAACATAATCGCCTAAGCAAATACCATTGCGACTTTCTCTTCCCTATTCTCATCTGTATGACAACAACGTTATGCAGCCGTCATGCAAGCTATTTTATCTTACTGTCATCCCACAATACATTTTTTTTCTATATAAAATCTTCCACATTTTACTATTTCAAAACTCCATAGGGAAGATGTGATGTCCTGAAACTTGTCGATCTGTCCAAGATACCGTCATTCCAGCAAGCTTTAGAACAAGAATACGGCGAGGCTGACAGCTTAAATGGTAGAAAGTTACCAGCTTTACAGAGTTTATTGGAAGATTACATAGCTGTACCAAAAGGGCATTATCCCCCACAAACGGGGACTAACTTAGGAGTACCTGTCCAAAACACAAATATACAGAAAAACTCACCAAGACCAAGAACGACAGGCAAGTAGTAAAATATTAGTAGGCCAAACAAAAATAATAATAATACCACAACAGCTGGATGCATAGTGAAGTGCACAAAGTTGGGACTTTGCTTATAAAGTTATTTATTAAAATTCGTAAATGCTGATCATCTGCTTTTATTCAAATTTAAATATTTAATAATTAATGACTGGCTAAACATTGTCTATGCCCATATTGCGTGCATGCATCTGTCTTAGCAACTGCACACACATTCAAAATGAGCTTCTTGTTGATTGGATAAAGGTAAAATATCGCATTAATATTAATTAGAACTAACGATGATGTCACAATACCATTTTGATTTATATCTTTGTATATTTATAAAACAATTATAATGACCACAGCTGTATGCCCTTCACTGTATGTTGAAGATTCAACAAGTATTAAAGCGGGATAGTCGTCACCTGAAATCACGGCAGACAGCCAAAGCGTATTGTTGTTTACAAACAAGCACCTACCCATGGGCCTTTGGGTTTTTAGCGTGTATTGTTTTCATCATTCGGTATTCAATTCCTGCGCATACACAGATGTCTCCCCTTCGCTTAACGTAATGCAAAACCTATTTTTCAGTTTGGCCTAAGGTGTCGTCAAAATATCACATCATGATAAGCTATTTATTTTACGTCATCAGTTTTCGTAGAAATATACAATAAAAAAAACATGGTTTGTGTAATTGTTTTCACCACAGGGCGAATGCTGCCGAAACATGGAGAAGGCGATGAGGGTAGATCTCGCAGTAAAAGTGCTGCTATGAAGTTGACATATGGCACTAGCAGTAAGAATAAAATAGATCTAGAGAGAAAAGAATCAGGAAGTAACCCATACCTCGTACTCAGGTAATGAGTACTGTCGAACATTTGAAGAGTGTTAGCTTTGGTTTAGTCTAAATATTAGTCACACTAATGATATGATGCAGGTTCAATAAAGATGAAAACACAAACATTTGAACCAAAGCATTTGATTAGAAACTCTGAGTGGAAGAGAATGCCAACAAATTGTGCAAATTATTTTTTTGTTAACTTAGTTTGAGCTAGATTTGTTTTTTCAAAATGTTTAAAAAATGTTAACCGCTTTCCTCTATCAAACATGCAAGTATTTTCCATAATTGTCCCATAGAATATTAATTTCAAAATCTACAATTGCCAAATTAAGAACATTTTTAAAGGCAACAAATTATTGTTTTATAGTTTTTTCAGCGATTCTGTGTATCCACATGCACTACCTTGGAAAACCCAGATCTAAAAATCATGAAAATCTGTTTCCCAATGATGCCTTTTGCAATTTCCAGATATAAATTCTACCTTATCATACTTCCAATTTTGGCCTTGCATCTGGATGAACTTTAAGTTTCTGCCCCTGATACGATTGTTTGCAGACAGTGCATGCTAAAATATAGCCAGACTTGCACATTACTTTGCCCTTGTCCATAGGCAAGTCCATCTACCAAGGGTGCAGTCTTGCACACAGACTAGCTAAGTTATCACAGTAACCAATACCTAACTTTTCCCCTTACTTTTCTTTTCCCAGCAATGACTTCAATTCGTCAGATGATGGTAGTATTCATGAAAATTCATTTTTCAGCACAAAAAGTATCTTATCCCAAGGAACACCTACAAATGCAAATCAGATCGGTTATGGTGTTTTCGTCAAAGTGGACTCTGTTAGAGCAGGACAGTGCTTTGTAAGTAATATGAGTAGTACATAATAAGTGACATACAGCGTGTTTGAATTCTGAGTGAACAATGTAATGAAACATTGGATTCATTATCCCACTATAGATTACTGGTAGATAGTATTGTATTATAAATTTGACTAAGCTTATCAATAATAAATCCAATGTTTCACAGATTATTTAAATATGTTCAACCATAAATATACTGTAAAACAATTTGAAATAGCCACATACCATTTTAGTGAATTCGACTCAATGCATGAAATAACTGAATCTAAAGTGCCAATAATCTTACTGTGAGAATATACTATATTCTAATTACCAACATCTTAATTTAGCGAAATTGTGAATTAGCTAAATTATATGCGAGCTAAAAAGACACGTTTTACAGTAGTCATTGTATGACATAAAACTATCTTTTAAGTTTTATAATTTGACATACATTGCATGGGAACCTTATCGAACACAATCACTGCATGGAAAGAAATTGAACACTATTTCAGGTACTGTTTATTATTGATTCATTTTACTAAATGCAGTTGAATATTCCGTACACCAGTTTTGCATGGAAATTGCTAATTTATGTCATGACCTCACTTTGTATACTACCATATAATGACCAAACTTATTTACTGCATGTTATATAGAAGCAAGAATTTATTTTGTCATGTGCATATTATGCATACTATATTACATACGATGGGACCCATGTCATCACAACATCACATCAACATTACTAGTCACTGGTAGCATAGTGGTTGTCGCATCAGACTCGTGATCGGTAGACCCAAGTTCAAAACCTACCTTAGGCTGAACATCAAAAGGGTCGACCCCTACCCTGGGTGAGTGTGCCACAGACTCAATGGGAACGCCAAGTCCACTGGTCGAGATTCATTCACTAATGAATGTGACTTTGGGGGAACCTTGGTTAAGGTCCGCAGGTGCTTGTGTTTGACCGAGCCTGGTTGACGCCAGGAAAGCGCATTAAAATTGCCATTTGATATGGAGATGGCCACACAGCCCTGTCATGTAGTCCCAAACATGAATATGACTTCCGTGGCAAAATGCACTATGTGTCAGCACTAGCACTTGCAATTTGCACTTACAAAAAAAAAAAAGTCGGGAGAGACAACAGTGACAATCAATGTCCGGATCTGTCGCCTGGTACAAAATCATTTTAAAAAACAAAACAAAAAAACAACATCACATGACATGACCACCATCACCATAAGTCTAACTAACTTTCAGTGTTCATTCATAGAATATCGCTCATATCCATACACACTGAATTTACATTGAAATAAGCGTAGATATACGAAGTGACTTGATGGCATTTGATATATTGCATTGATACAAGCTTACAGAAATAACCACACATTTTAGTTATCCGCAGGTTCACATGTGTTAGTTACTGTGATTAGGAGATTAGTATATTGCAACATCAGATCATGTAATTTGCATCACACTTCCAAATACCGTTATTTATGGTGTTTTTTTCGAACTTAAACCCCTATTCTGACTACATAATGTACCTGGAACAAAGGCGATCATTAATTTACTTTAATCAGTATATCATTAACCTTTTCACAACAAGTTTCCCCTTTTTTATCATAAATTCACAAAATAGTTTGCTGTTATAGTTTGCACTTTCCTTCAGAAAAATAGCCACATTTTTTGAGCAAAAACTGAAAATGTACTCCAATTTTGTCTGTTGGCTCCAAAATTAGGGTTCTTTTCCAAAAATATTAAAGAATATAAAGAAAAAAGTGCAGGAAAATTCGAGCGAGAAAGTCTGGTGGTGAAATTAAAAAAACTTGCAAACTTCACTGTTACCGGGTAGATTGAAAATCCAGGCTTTTTTTTGTTATTTATAAATATGGTACTAGTACCCCTGATGGATGGTAAATTTATAAAAATTAAAGATCACCTTGCCAATCACCTTTACATAAATACAAAGTTAGGTATAACATCCAGGTATGAATTGTGAGTTTAAACATTTTTTAACAGGGTCTACAAGGAATAATTGGAAAAATGCCTCACATATCCCTCGTCAGCGGAGGATGTGAAGTCATCAGAGTGTCAATGTCCAGATTCCGAGAAGATGCAGACGCCGCAACTTTGAGAGAAGTGGAAAAACAGATCCCTGTGTTTCCATCTGATGCTGAACTCTGTGCAAAGTTCTTAAAACAGAGTAAATGGAAAAATTTTAAAAGTGATATTGTGCAAGGAATCATTGCAGATGCGCAGTTCAAGAAACAACAGACCGATGTAAGAGGCCAACGATCAGGACGGAAATTATCTGATAATATGATATCAAATACAGCCTTATTTACATCACATGCAATGCCAAAGATTCAGTTCAGTGCGGAGGCCTGGGTCTCAAATGCTGTACCCAAACATAGAGGTAAGTAAGCTCTTCACAGCTGATTGGGAATATTTGTGGTGGACAAAAACTAAATTAATGTCAAAGAACCCCTCCCCACTGACCATATTTAGCTCAAAGGACACCACTTTCAGGAATCACTTGGTGCAAGTGGTCATGTCGCAAATACAACAAGAATTTTTCAGTTAGTCAAGATAGTAACAGACCAATAAAAAATTTAAAAAAAAGGGTTTGGGAATGTACCGTATTTCTCTTAAGATTATTTTTTTTTTCTTTCTCTAAGATAATGCAGCACTGCACAGACCACGGCCACGGACGCATGCAAGACGATTACAGATCAGCCACAAGCCATGTCATAGATTTATTTCTCCATACAACAGCGACATAACAACATCACGACCAGATTCATCAATATCACAATGCAGCAGTCAGGTCGCACCACAACATAGTTTTGTTGCACAAGGAAGTCAACGAAGACTTGTTGTCATAGAACGAGTATCCAAACCAACGTATACAGGAAGTTGTTCATGGAGAAACTATTATCAGCACTAGTGATACAGTAATCCAACACATTACGACTGCCCAAGATGTTTTGAGTTTTAAAAGCCCAGAATACCCAGTTTCAATGTTTAAAGGAAAAGTCAAGGCTAACAACATAATACTCCCAGATGAAAGAGCTCAGCAAATGTACAAAATAATAATAATATTTTATTAGCCTTTGGAGCGGCAAACAAAGAAAAGAAAACAACCAAATCATACATATTTGAAAAAGGAAAGAAGAAAAATCACATTAAATTCAAACTTTCTTTTCTATACTTATACAATTGAGTAATAAATACTCTAACTTCCTTGGATACAATTTTCCCCAAATTATTGTTGACTTTCCACAATATGTCGCTAAAAAGTACATTAAACTTAAAATTAATTCCTCCAGAAAGAAAGTTATTAATAAGTGTTGGGTCTACTTCAAGGTTTTGAACTTTGTACATGAAATCTCCATAAAATTTGTGTCTTAAATGATAAGTTGCTTTGCATAGTTGAACTCTGGTGACCTTGCCCTTTGTTATATAATATAATTCCCTTTATCATAGTTTGTTTCATAATTAATTTTGAATACAAACAAGTTTTGGGGTTGAACCAACAGTGGGGAATCAGTCTACCGAATGTTCTTAAAAGATGTAAATATCTTACAAAAACATTGGTGCCTTATTTGTTTAATTATTTTAAGGAACATAATTTCCAGCTTTATTGAAAGTAATTGAGATATTTTAGAATAAAAACAAATGTTTCATTGCAAAAAAAAGTGCTGCATTTAGATGCGAATAGATTCATAAAACATGCAAGATAACAGAAAAATTTAGCTGGCTTTAGTCCAAGTACTTTGTACAGGTGTCTGTCAAAAAAGGAATGATTCACTGAGACAAATATGAACTGCCTCATTGTGTGACTACTGTATTATATGAAAAGTAAAAAAAAAAACACCCTTTATGAATAGCTATCATGTTGCAAGCTCTGCTTTGTATGCAAATCAACTTAAATAGTTGGTGTCCAGTGGAGGGAGAAGTCAACAGTACTGTTGCCTCCTGAGAAACTA